AAGAAGGATCATGTTGTTACATATACCAAGTAACACATGAAGTCTTTTAGACTATAAAACCAATGATGTGCAGCCATACACATTTAGGGTACTCATTTAGCTTTTCATTGACTAAATGTCTCAATAGTCTGAGTCATTCTTTATGGCAAATGTTTTTAAAAACAAGATGTGACAAAGAAAGAAACAAGAACTGTGCAAGTATGAATGCAGAAATAATGGAAAAAATCCCAAATGTCAAAACATTTACTGAAATGAGAAAATATAGCATGTATTATTTGACCTGAGATGTGTAAAATAATACATGTGTTTAAAATAACCTTACTGGAGTGTTGTCCTTCAGTCAGGTGAAGTAAGTGCTGTCTACTTGCTCCAGATTTGGAGAAGTTGAAAGAAAGGCATTCAGGTATGGTGTTGAACTACTGAAAAGTGATAGAATCAGGAAAGAAAGCTAAGCAGAGTCTTCTGTTAGTTAATGCTTCTGGAAAATCAAGCATTGTATGCCTCTGTGAGTGAAAGTTGGAGGTAACAGCTTTAGACAGGTTCACACTCTTCACTGGCCTTCCTCCTAAGCACACATAACCTTCCTAGATACAGTCAGTCATAAGGAGATTGACATACAACCTACGTCATTACTTGTGATGTGTAAACACATTAAAGGAGTCTGTTCTGGAGATAATCAAGTTACTGATTAGCAAACAGTCTGTGGGCTGATTGTCATATTGTGATTTGGAAAAACAAAAGAAAGGAAATAGTCTGTCTTCACAAACTCCAACTGAACACCTAACCTCATTTATTATGTAACTTGGAGAAGCTATTTCATTCTCTGTTGATCTTATGATCTGAATGTTTGTGTCTATGTTGAAACATAATTTACAATGCAACAATGTTAAGAGGTGGAGCTTTGGGGGAGGTTATGAGGGCTTTACCCTCATGGATGGGGTTAGTGGCATTTTATGAAGAAGTTGAAGGAGTTTGTTTGCTGCCCCAGTGATGGGAAGAAACAGAGGAGGTGATCTCTATGAGGTACAGGCTGTCACCAGACATGAAACCTGCTGGAACCTCACGTTGAACTTCCCAATATCTACAATTATGATCGACAAATCTTATTTAATAATTACCCAGTCTAAGGTATTCCTTATTAATGTTCATTATATGCTAAAATCTGAATTTGTCCTCCAAAATTTCACATGTTAAAATTTGATCACCAATGTGGTAATATTAAAAGATGGGGCTTCAGGAGGTGATTAAGTCATGAGGTGAGAGTCCCCATAAAAAGTAGTGGTGTCCTTGTAAAAGAAGTTTAAGGGAGAGGCCTCCATTTTTTTTCCTTTGTCTGTACCTATGTGAAAATAGAACATTCCTCTTTTCTGTACAATGTAGTAACAAGGGGCCATTTTGGAAGCAGAGAGCAGCCCTCACCAGATACAGAATATGCCAGTGTCTTGATCTTGGACTTCCCAGTCTCTATACCTATGGAGCATAAAATTCTATTGTTTGTAAATTACACAGTCTATGGTATTTTTTAAAGCAGAAGAGACTAAGACATTATGTGCTAGGTACTACTTTACTGTTTCACATACATAACTGATTTAATCTTTGCAACAGCTATATGAAAGTAGCACCAATGGTATCCCTATCACAGGTGTGATAAAACAAACATGAAGAGTTTTAGTGCCTTGCCCCAGGTTTAATAGATAGACAGTTGCAAAATTGGTTATGGATCTCAGCAGTCTGTGTTCATAATTACCACTTTCCACCACCATGTGACGTACTTTTAAAAGCCAGAAGAATGGAAGAGGGAGTACAAAATATGAATGGGTGACTCCAGCTGATGCATGAAAAGTTCTATATTTGGATTAAAATTATCCATCAATCAAGTATAGAATGGGGAAGACTGAGTAGAAATTCATGTTTAGAAAAGTGCAAGAAGTTTTACTTAACTAAAAGTTTGATGTGACTCAAAGAACAACATGGTCAAAACTGCTAGTGCAATCTCAGAGTATGTTATCAGAATTGCAATGCACAGAACGAGAGATTTAATAGATTACATAATCCTTAAATCACATCTAAAAATTGTGCTCTACTTTGGTGACAGATAACACAGAGGAAAAAATCAGGAGGGCCACCTGGATGATGAAATATTTGACATTTAATGAATGATACAAAAAATTTAATCATTAGCATAGATACTGTGTGTATGAGTGTATGTGTTATAGACATAAGTATTGAGAATATGTTGATCTCTTTTTGAAAAATAGAATAATACGGTCCAATTCATTTGTGAGGATCATTCTTCTATGTGGAGACAAGAATGGAAAAAGTAAGGATGGGAGACGGGAAACAAGAACATGGTTAAAATTCAGAGCAGAGATGATGGGGGATGATTTCAAATGGAAATACTAATTTTTTTTGACTTCACCATAGTTTTAAGGTAAAACCAAGATTTGGTGAAATCATCTATGGGATGTGAAAGGGCACACATAAATATATTTAGCCTAAGCTACATTTTATTCACAATACAATGTAAGATTTTAAAGGAAACAGAAATATTCTAATCAAGCTTTGATTTTTTAAAGGAATCTTGCCTACAACAACCTATTTTTCAGTACTTCAGCTATGATGAACTCACTGCCTTCCATAGCACTCATCCCATTTTAAAATAGCTCTGGTTTTAAAAGCTCTTTTCTAATACTAAATCAAAGCTTGCTTCTCTGTCATGGACAATTGAGTGAGAAAATATGAAAAGCTGGTAGGAAGGTAAGTAAAAGAGGAGAGGGACTGTATTTGTTTCTTCACTAGTATGTTACCAATATATAGGATGGCATGTGTCATTAGGTATAAAATAAATCTTCCACTGTCTGAGCAATTTTGAGGAAGATATGACCATAAGAACTAATAGTTCACTGTTTTCTGGAGATTTAAAAAGGATAAAACTAAAAATATTTTCTTTAGGCTTATATTATGTGTGTTTATATGTGACAATGGTGGTTTTAAATAAATGAAGAAGAGTATTATGCTTAAGTTTACTGTTTCTTAGTATCCCAATTCTCAGCTATATTTCAATATATCATGCCCTTCATATACAAAATATGTATGTATGGGTAAAGTCTGGTCACCAACAAATCAGAATGGATGTCGGCCAGATTGATGCATATCAACTGCATATCAGGCTGCCTCAAACTATGAGAACATCAAGCTATCAGAGTGCTGAGTTTAAATGGTACATATTTCGATTTTATCTTTATTGTAATGAACAAGCCCTGTCTTTAGCTCCTGCTGTGCACTTTTGGAAGGTCTTCCATATGGTTGCTGCTAAGTATTTTGGCATTTTCCCAACTGTTACAATTGGGTCAGTGGGGGGGATCGTATAGGAGTAATAAAACGAGGGTGACTGCAGCGGGGAGGAGTGTGATTCCTGCACACATAACAGCTTGCCTCTCATGCATTCAAGCACAGCTCTATACCATTCATTACAACAGGCAGCCTGGGCAACCCCCCTTTTTGCCCTAGAGCTTACTCTGTGGGTGCAGAAAGTGTGTCCTCTGTTAGGTTTTCCCCTGTTTCCTTACTTCATCTCTCCACAATGTCTAAATAACTGGAGGAGGGACAAGACAATTATACGTTGCATATTACTGTCATTCTGAGAAAGTTTTGTTCAACAAACACTTTGCTAAGTTTTTTCTGCATCAGTAGCAGGACTGTCAGGGGCTATGAGAGCTTTGATAGCTTATGAAGCTGAAAAACATGTGGAAGGCAAGCCTGATGATCCAGTTAATATTTAAAAGTCTTAACACATGATTCATAGATCCAGAAGTGAATGATAATACTAACATTATTGGAGTATCTTTCGTATCAGAAGTCGTATCTATAAAAGATACAATGGTTGTTGTTATTATTATTATTATTACTGTTATTTAGTACTGGGGATTGAACCCAGGGCCTGACACAAAAGAATTATCTCTACCATAAACTACACCCCGAGAGCCACCTATTACTTTTATCCTATAAAAGGCAGTGTTGTTAAGCAGTAGATTGGGAGTAAAGTATATTCAAAGCAAAATCAAGATTCTATTAAATAATGAAATTATACGGTAATCAGCAGTGTGTACGTTAAATATGTACACACGGTGGTGTTTTCCATATTTACATCAAACGTGCAGGGATTCCTGAAATATTCATTATGCTTTTCCTTTAATATGATATGAAGATTTTTATTATGTGAAATACCATAATACAGCTGTGTAGTATTCTAATAGGTTTACTGTATAGTCATGAATTTTTCCTGGGCAATTGCAAGAAATCAAGAAATAGCACTGGAGACATTTTATTCATGCTTCCAGCCAAAAAGTGTTGCACTGAGAAACTGGCTTCATGCCTTTCCTTCCCGCCATCCTCAGCCCTGAACAGGACCCCAGAGACCCCTAGCGGGTGGACGGCGCCCGGGGTTCCAGGGCTGCAGGTGACCCATGGGGTCCCCCGGGTCTGCGCGGGAAGGGAGTGGGGAGGGGTTGGAGCTGAGCAAGACACTGCAGAAGAGGACGTGAACATCAGAGTCTTACTACAGAACACTGATTGTGGCATCCCACCGGCGGAAGAAAGCACCAATACTGACAGCAACTCAGAGTGGGGCCAGGCGGTTGAGGGACGACCCACACTTTTCCGAGGACCCTGGAGACCCCTAATTCCACCTTCTCAGTAGGCAAGAAGGAAAGCGCTAAGCGAAGCTTGTTGGTGCCCTAAATCGGCACAGAACCGGCGCACAGACGCCGGGCTGCCGGGTCCCACGCTGTCCACCCGGCCAGCCCGGGTGTCCTGGGTCTCCGCGCCGCACCCGCGAGCTGGAGGAACCCGCAGACCTGGAAGTGAGGGCAGCCGAGGAAGTGAGGGCAGCGGCGACGACTTCAGGCGCGCAGTGCGCAGGCGCAGGTGCAGAATGCGCAGGCGCCGCCCAGAAGTGACTTCTCCAAAAAGTGTCTTAGTTCCCGGTCACCTGAGCTCGGGCGACGCGGCTGCGGTGTCCTCTCGGAGACGCGGGTCCTGCCTGGAGACCTTGCCTTCTCCCTGCTGCCAGCGGTTCCGCCACCCCGAGCCCTCTTTTTCCCTCCCGTCCTTTCCCAGCCTCGGGCCGGACCGGGCCGAGCCGGGCCGCCCGGGCGCGGTCCCTGACCATGGCGTCTCTCTTCAAGAAGAAAACCGTGGACGGTGAGTTCCAGGCCGGGCGTACAGGGCCCATTTCTGCGTTTCCAGGCGTTTTTCGGGGGCGTCCGGGTGCGGTTCTGACTGCTGTCCCCGGGGGCGAGATTGGACCAAGTGGCCCCACAGGTGACCGCCCTGGCTGCGTCACTCCTCTGCCTCCATCTCTCCTGACAAGTCACACCACGGCTCACCTGGGCAGTCAGGCTGCTCCCCTCGCCCCCGTGTTTTCTTTAGGTGGCTTCTCAGCATTTTGAGAAGGCAGGGCACTAGGGTACTGCTGGCCCTGGGGTGTCATAGACTTTGTGATTTGATGAATTTCTTGTTGGTTTCCTGTTTGTCTTGTTGCTCCTTCAGTTTGGAGATGTACAACTTCCAGGCATCAGAAAAGGACACCTGTGTGGGTTGGGGACGGGAGCGAAGGGCAGGGGGCGGGAGAGAGGACTCCACTTACAAAATTAACTTGGGTTTGGGCTGGTTATCCATTTAGGAACACCCAATCAGAAGAGATGTGAAGCAAGTGTTTATTGACTGACTCCAGTAATAATAACAATGATGATAATAATAGAAATTCAAGAGAACTGTCTGGGATTTAGTTTTCTCCCTTATTATCTTCTGCAAAGTAAAATAACGGATGCAGTATCTATCATCTGCATAGAAGTTCACATTTTAAAAACATCTGCATTGTTTCAGACATTGAGCTCAGTGTTAAGAGGGGAAAAAGTGAATGTGCAAGTTTTGTGATCTTAATATGCAGTGCATATAATATGTATTTATACATGACTGCTACCAGGTATTAAATTCATTCAAGTTATTTAGAAATCGTGTTCCATTACATGTTGAGTCTAGGTTTTTGCTGGTTCAACCAAAGAATCACTTCTTTGTAAGGGTCTAACCCTGAGCTAGACAGTGATTGGTACAAACACAGTGCTAGTCCTGACTAGGGGGGTAACTCCTTCATTCCTTTGTGTTGTCTGTTCTAATGCCAGTAAAATTATTTTGGGGAGGATAACAAAGACACCATTTTTACCCTGCTACTCTGTCTTTCATTTAGCACATAATGACACTAATATAATTATGTCATAATTATGAGAATGCTGTTTAATCTTTAGCATGGTACTTTATATTTTTCAGTGCTTCTGTATCAGAATTGTGCAATTCAGTATTTGAGAGGGGGAAAAAGGTTTATTTTCTTATTGCTTGAGTTTTGTATAATAGGAATTTTTCTTGATAAGTTTTATGTAGTGAAAATTTGCTAGACAGAAAAAATAGTTTCATCTCTCTTATTTTGATGTTACAAGTTGAATTAATTTTTTACCAACAAAATCCAAACATCCTAGTTTTAATTGCTTAATATCTTAGATATTTTCAGACATAAATCTCTGCCTTGTGTTTCCTGATGCTTTTGTTGATCTAGTGACTATTATACTTGAAGTGTAGAGGAGAGAGGAAAAAAAAAGACAATGAAGGTGTGCAGTGAAGGTTTTTGACTATACATTTGCAGTTGATGTAATCCTAACAAGACAGTGTTTTGAATAGACTTACTTGTAAACAAAAAAGTTTTATGGACATTTGCTAAGAATTATGCCAGTGGATTAAAGATTTATTTGTGAAATTTCTGAATGTAAATTTGGCCACTGTGAGTACTACTAAGCTACATACTTAAAATTTTCCTTAAGTTATTATATCAACTCAAAGAATTTACTCATTTCTTAATTATAGATCTGCATTTTCATTATTTTAAGAGAGAGCCTTACTAATGTTATTTACTCCTTGTTTTAGGAAAAGGAGGCCTTTTTTAAATCTTGTTTTCTTTTAAAAAGTGATAGCACTTTTCTTAGCGGTAATGAGACTGTATATTGTGAAATTAATGTATTTTTATGCTTTCTCTCAGATTGTTGAGCATGTTGATTATTGATGATAAGATCTTTTATTGTATACTGACTTTTTTATATATTCTGATAAAATTCTGATATATAAGAGAAATATGTAACTGCTTATGGATCTGGAGAATAATTGAATCTTTTTGTCTTTGGATTGGCTGAAAGAGTTATATACTGTATCATTAAAGACGACTGCACATGTAAATTCAAAAGGAAGACAATATTACAGCTCTTATTACCATTCGGAGTTATGTTTAATTCATTTTGACACAAAGATGAACAAGTCTCCTCAGTGTATACTTTGCTGCAGAAATTAATGAGAGGTGTATCTCAACGCCATTGAAGAGAAGGGTTCTTTCCAATTTGAAATTACAATTTAATGTATTTGGTTTTCTTTTTACTGATTTGTAATATATATACATATATATGTATATATAGAATAATATGTTTATCTACAGTGTTTTTTCCATCTTAGTGAACTAATAGTGACCTATTTATTGAAGATAATTATGAACCTGTAAGTCAGCATATCATTAGGATTTGTCATAAAAGGCCAACTCTGGGTGCCTGTTCAAAAAGCGAAGGGGTTCAAGTGCTCAGAAGTTAAGAGTGCTTATGTGAGGCAGGTTTGGCCTTAGTACTAAAAAAAAAAAAAAAAAAAGAAGCTTTTTTGTTTTGTGTTGATTTATTCTGTTCTTTTGGAGATAGGGTTTCACAATTTAGTCTAGGCTGTCTTAGAACTTGCTATATAGCCAAGGTTGACATGAAATGTATGATCCTCCTCCTTGAGCCTCCAGGGTACTAGGACTGTGCCTAACTAAAAATGAGTTCTTTAAGCACTGCATAACTGTTAGCTGATATTCATTTTTTTGGTGGTACTGAGATTTGAATTTGCAAGGCAGTTGCTGTACTGCTTGAAATAAACCATTTTGCTTTAGTTATTTTGGAGATGGAGTCTTGTGAACCATCTTCCCAGGGTACCCTTGAACTGTGATCCTCCCTAATCTCAAATTCCACGTAACTAGGATTACAGGAGTGAGCCACCAGTATCCAGCTGATATTCTTATAATGACAAATTTGAGGACCTCTCTAAGCCAGTACCATGCTAAGAATTCTGCATGCTGTATCTTACTCAATTCTCATAAAACCTTTGAAATAAGCAGTATGATTGTTCCCATTTTACAGAACAGAAAACTGAGAGGAAAGGAACTAAGTAACTTGCCCAAGATCTTAAAGCTGCTAAGTGGCAGAGTTGGGACCTTGTCCCTTTAAATATTACCATCATTATTATTTTCTTATAGAGATCAATGCCATGCCACAGTTTAATTTGGTAATCTTTTTAAGTCCATGGAACTTTCAACTCGTTATTTACCTTTTGTATATAAACCAGACTCCTGTATCTTGGAATTAGTAATGAAATTTTAATTTCAGTAATGGAGAACTGGAAATAGCCTTATTTTCCCGAACTTCCTTGGACCCCACCATTTCATAGGAAGCATCGCTCTTTATCTACACCTGTTGAAGGAGTAGTGATGTATTTTATTTTCATCTTATTTCTAATCCTCAGCAATTTATTAGTTCTTGCTTTAGATCATCAAATGTAATGACCAGTGGTTGTCTCCTGGACTCTTTTCTATTGGATTCTTACAACAATTTCTTCTTTCAAATTCTCTTTTGATCTCGATAACTTAGTACTTAATTTTCTTCAGATTTCTGTGGCCAGTCCTTTTCATGTTTTCCTTTTCTTTCTTTGTTAAACCTTCCCCTTAAATGTTAGTTTTTCCTGGTTACATCTTGGGCTACCACTGTTCTAACTGTATTATATTCCTGTGTGATCTACTGTCTACTCTTTATTTTAGTTATAATCTAAGTGCTAATATAGCCCAAATTTGTATCTCTAAATGTTTATTTTTGCTGTTAAGACCAATATATGCAACACTTTCCTGCATATCTTCATATAGATACCCAAAGCACTTCAAATTAGAGATCTAAACATAATTCATCATCTTTTTAAAGATCAGTTCCTTCCTGGGTTTTTTTTTTCTTTCTTTCAATTATTGAGAGAACTTGATTTTTGCCTTTTGCCTTCAAGTAATTACCAACTCACTAATTGCCAAATCCTGCTTTTTTTTTTTGCCACCTACAATATTCTATGTGCCTGCAACCACTTGCTCTAATTCAGAACCTATTTATCTGCACTTTACTGCATCACCTTTCTACTTTTCTTTCCTGCAGCTTCATCTACTAACTTGGTTGTGCAGTTACTTTACCTGCAACCCAAGTGTGACTCTGTTGCTTATACTCGATGTAAACCTCTTCACTGAGTCTCTGATACCAATAAGATTAAGTGTAAGTTCTTTAATCATGCAGGACACTAAAATGTCCAGAGGTACAACTAGACAAAAAGGCAGTAATGTTCTGCTATTCATCAGTATACTGTGTATCATTCTTTTTCTTATACTGACATTTATACTTATAATGCCTTTTATGTCCAGATTCTGTTGCTGTCCTGTAGCTAACCTGAACTATCTCAGTTTTTTCCATGTCTAGGAAGTCTTCCCTGATGTCACCTCAGTCTGTGTTGATACTGCACTTCTTGCATTCCTGTTGTTTAGTATCTGCATTCGACTTCATTCACCAGGACCAAAATAAATTCTGTATTTCTAAAGTTGGATTATGCTCATTATAAGTCTTTCCTATAATCAATAATGGTTTCAGAGTCTTCAGTGTATAGGAAAGTATCTCTGTAGTAGTTCGTAATTTAGAGACTGCCACCCTAAAATAATAGCAATTACTAACCAAAAGTAGTATTTCTAGTATCCAGAGCTTACTAAAGTTTACATCCACATTATTGCCACTTACTGTGATCCTTGCTGTAAGTTTTGAGCAATTTGAGAAAACTTACGTACAGGGAAGGAATCAGGCTTCTTGGTCTTTGCCTTTTTGGTATAATATCCATAAATGCTAGTTGTTCAGGGCTCAGAGTATGTGCAGTTTAAATAAAATTAAAGAAATTTCCTGTCAAGAGGTCAAAAGTGGTACCACTTGTCTAGTATATTAAGAGGAGAAAAAAAGTCTACCATCTCTGTGAACCAACTCCCCTTCAGAACCATTCCCTCCCTTTTC